GCCGGAAAAAGTGGCGCCGGTGATTGTTTTTTCGGCGGAAAACCCTGCGGATTTTCCCCGTTTCCGGCAGATACCGGCCGTTGAAAATTCCTCACCGGTTTAATTATAAAATCTTGATTAAACTAACAAACTGGTTAAGTATTTTTTTTTAAAAAAATAAATAAATTATCGGCGGAATATTCCGCCGGAAATCTGCCGGAAATCTTTCTCACCGGAAAAATATTAGTCTTTTTTAAAAGAATATATCTTTAATTTTAAAAATCCGCCGGAAATCCGCCGGAAAGAATATATATATATTAGTTCTAAATTTATTTTTAAAAAAATATTTTTATATTACAAACATTACCGGCGGATAAATCCGCCGGAAATCCACCGGAAAAAATATATAAATATTAATATTTTAAAATTAATATTTARAACTTGTATTTAAAACCTGTAAATCTGTACAATATTAAAAATGAAACTAAAAAAGCGAAATAGAATTAAATATCATACATTAAAGTGAAACTACAATTATTCCAACCAAACAAAAACTAAATTGCTATAAACAAAACTAAATTGTTTCAAACCAAAAGACAATATTCAATTTGGTGGTGGCGGGGGGAAATGTTGAGAATGACGGAGCTGTCTAACCAAAGCAGCCATATCTTGAAGTTGTCTATCCTGTTGCTCCTCCCTCTGTCGTCGTCGCTCTGCCTCCACCCGCTGTCGCTCCTCCTCCGCCAAACGTCGCTCCTCCGCTCCCACCATCTCTCCTCCTTCGCCTCCCGCCATCACTCCTCCTCCGCCAAACATCGCTCCTCCGCCGCCCGCCATCGCTCCTCTGCCATCCGTTGGCGCTGACTTTGTTCCTGTAAGTCTCTAAGTTGGATCCTTAAGGTTTGAATTTCCTATAAAATAAATAAAACGTTATAATATTTAATATGAATTATAAACTAAGTCGATAAACATCATCAAAGGAAAAGAGACACATACGTGCTTATCTAAAGATGATGAACCACCTTCCGTGTAGTTCCCGGTCAAGACACAATTGGGATCTTGGTTGTACCCAAACCCAAATAAACGGCCTTTCTTGCTTCCTCCAACCTCTTGCTCCCACAACTCTCTATCAACTAAAAGATAGGTGGAGGGATCATCGCCATATCTTTGGCTGAGACCAGTTGAATACTCATTCTATATATAGTTTAAAAAAATTGCAAGTCAATTTTGACAGCATAACGGCTGTCAATGGGACGTTTCCAAAACAATCCTAACGTTTGCCCACTAAATGGCAACCCAAACTAAATAATGACATATACGTAATTTCTAACTTAAACAATCTTAACGTTTGCCCAACAAATGGCAACCCAAACTAAATAATGATAAATACTTAAAATCTAACTTAAACAATCATAATGTTTGCCCAACAAATGACAACCCAATACGGTTCATTAAGGCCCAATCCGATCAATTAATGTTCAATATGATCCATTAAAGCAAATACGGTCCATTAATGTCCAATACGATCCATTAAAGTCCAATACGATCCATTAATTTCCAATACGGTCCGTTAAAGCCCAATACGGTTCATAAAGGCCCAATACGGTCTATTAAAGGCCAATACGATCCATTAATGTTCAATACGATCCATTAAGGCCCAATGCGCTCCATTAATGTCCAATCGGCCTATCAAAACCCAATACGGTTCATTAAGGCCCAATACGGTCCATTAATGTGCAATAGGATCGATTATGGCCCAATACGGTCCATTAATGTCCAATA